CCATCCTTCCAAGCCATTGATGTGGTCCATAGTCCTTCAGGACACTCCATACCAGGTTACTTTTGGAAGTCCCAATTGATGCCCTCATTATCAATCAATCAATCAATCTTTATTTGTGGTCTCCGACCCATTAAGCCCTCATTATCAATTGCTGTTCCCAAAAATTTCAGTGTCAACTGCAGGAATTCAGAAGTGTAGAATCTGTAATTTGACAGTAATTGTAGCCATATGAGACGTTATAGCTATATATACCGGATTTTTCGCTCCGTAAGACGCACCTTTCCATAAGACGCACCAAATTTTTAGGAGAAGAAAACAGGAAAAAAATAATCTGCTTTCTTCTCCTAAAATTTGGTGAGCCTTGTATGAACTTCCAGGCGCACACAGCTCATTCAAGACACTGGAAACAGCATTTGACATGCTGAACAAACTATTTTTATATATAAATATGAGGCAACTCCATAAGCAGCTGAAAGTGTTTGCAGCTACCTACCTCTGTACATGCAAACTGACAACCCTCTTTCTCAGGAACAGAAATCCTCAAATAGCCAAAGGACACACAGTATGCTATAGAGGGGTCCAGTGCCCATGCACTGCAGGCATTTGTGGTTGAGAGGAGATTATCTCACAACACATTTCCTCAGCATCTTGGAAACAATGGTGGAAAATATGAATTAAGCTGGTTAAAATTAGTAATCAGCTTCTCAGCAGAAGCTCTGTCCAGAAAAAGACATGGGCCCAATTCACCAAGAAACTTTCATGTTGGATATTCCTCTCCTTTCTTCGCCAGGCAAGATGAATAGTATGCTGTTGTTGTTACTTGTCATCCTAACAGATATTTCAAGGTATGTTAGTTATTCAAGGAGTGGTTTATCACTGCCACACCACAGTCATTTTTGTCCCAGACCCACACTCTACCTGCTATACCACACAGCTCTTGAATGGAGCTTCAGGCAATTCTATTTAAACTATGTCTGTATCTACCTGTACTTGGGAATTCTTTCTCATTTATATAAAGCTTCATTCTATCCTGTGCTTTGAAACCAACAAGAGAAGGATTTGAGGGATTCAGGTTTGGTCCCCAACATGTGATGGGGGGGAAGTATCACAAATATCATTTTTTAATTTACAAAACAAAAACCCAGACATGTTTATTACTGCTGTGTTTTTGTTTTCTAATTTAGGAACTCTTCTCCCCAGCCTATTTCATGTGAGGAGAATGTCTCTCACGAGCATTCAGGAGTGGAAGATATAGTCAATTTTTTTAATTTTTTGTAAATTTTTATTTATTTAAAAGAATTAGATATAATCTTGTGTGACAGCAAGGGGAATAATCAGAGAAGTTTACAATGAGAATCTCAATATTTTTCCTCTCCAAATAATTTTAAATCATTTAGGGATTCTAGAAGTTTGTGTGACTAGAACAGGTATTAGCAAAATATGGCTCACAGGGCACATGCAGCCATCAACAGAACTTCTGCTGGGTCCCAAATCCATTGTAGGGTCTTTAAAATGTGGGATTTTTTAGTTAACAAATAGATATAGTTAACATAGCTTCTTGGTTGCATTATAACCATTCTTTGCATACAGCCATGAATGTTTGCAGTCCTGCTTGTTCCTGAAATCATCATCTAGACCCTACTCTTAAGTCTACACGCTGTGATTGACTTGGAAACTGGTGACAAGGGAAAAGTACCTCCCTTAAGGATGTGCTCTCCCCAAAGATGCCCAAGTGGTTTCAACATCATCATTTCTTCCTATGCATGATTAAGATACACCTTTACTCTGAGGCATTTCATGGAGCAGAATTGCAAATTTCTAAACTTTTGTGTGAAGGAGAGATAAAAAGAAAGTGAGCCGTCCTTAGTAATAGAAGATATAATTGAGGGAAAAGAGGGTGATGACGTGAAAATACCTGAAGGGAAAAGCAGTATGTTGGGAGAGCTAGAAAAGGTGGAAAAGAAAAAGGGGAAGGATGAAATATGTCTGGTGGAGGAGGGAGAGAAAATGGAAAGGGAGGAGGAAAAGATGCCAGTCTGGGAGAAGGAAGGTATAAATGTGAGGGGAGAACAATGGTTTGGGAGTAAGCTGGAAGGAGACAGAATGAGACAGAAGGATGAAAGAAAGCAAGATAATGGTTATGAAAAGGCACATGATTTACTGAAAGATTTCCAGAACTTGAAAGTGGGAGCTACTGGACCCAGAGAGCGACCCAGACCCGTCATCGTGTTCCCACACGGGCAAGGAAGAGGAAAGGAGGTGATCCATCCAGACTCCACCTACAACCATGGTGGAAACTCACAAGTGGACCGTCATCGTGTTCCCACATGGGCAAGGAAGAGGAAAGGGGGTGATCCATCCAGACTCCACCTACAACCAACCACCAAAGGAAGGTGACTGAGCTAGACACCCATGCTGCGGGACGATCTGTGCAGTGAGGAGTGCATCACTTCGGAGACCCCCCCACAAAGAACGGTTTGGCCCAGCACCCCAATAAGTTACCAGGACTTTGGTCGTGAATTTATATCACCTAGTTATGGCTTGTTGCCAGAGTTATCTTGTTTTGACCCAATTGAAATAATTACAGAAAAGTCGGAAGTGAATAAAAACTAAATAATGAGTTAATACGTCTCCTACTTTATTTCCCACCAAATACAGTATGAGGAACTGCCAAAGGAATCTATTAAACCTTATCACATTTTGTGTATTTTATTTGCAGGATTACTGCATTTTTTTCTAGAAAAGGTGTTCAAGAAATTGAATAGATAATAATACAGTACTTCCAGCAATTTTCCATAACTAAACTAATTCAATTTCATTATCATGTCAGGGGACGATGGGGTTTATATGGAGATATATACACAACAGTCTGCAAAGCCAGAGAGGTAAACCTGGGTTTCCCCTTCTCTACAACAATCATGGGGAAAAATAATACGGTACCACCATTAGCTGGGAGACAGAAGTTTGCATCAATTCAAGAATTACAAATGCCACTAGGTTTCATTCCCTTTGACCTTTTAATGTTTTCTTGAACATGGCTAATCATGTGCCGTGAGAAGAGAAATCGAATATATCTGTGTGTTTGTAATATAGGAACAATTAAGGTAAGCTGGAGCACCTGAAACAGACTTAAAATGACGAAAACAACAACCACAACCAAAAACACACAACCAAAAATACACAAAAACACACTAAAGAAACAATGGTGGCTCTTGCTTTTCCTCAGCCAAAAAATAAAGGGTTGTGAGGCATCAGTAAAGGTATGAATAGCCATCTTGGGTTACGTTTTGATGGGAAATACATTTTACCAATACAGCACACAAAAAACAAAAATACAACAATTCACAACAGTTTGTATTCTGTACTGAATAATTCATCATTTCAACAGAACAGATTGCTGATAAACAAGACATCTGGATTTGAATATCAGAATAAAGCACACACTGCTTCTAATAGAAGTATTTCATAAATACATATATTTTCTGAACCATCATGACATGTTACATTTCTTTTATTATATGCTGTCAGGGCTGTTTGTTGCCAAGAACAAAAGACTTTGTAGCACTGATTTCATCTTGAGAAACAAACAAAATACTCATCTTTGGGCAAGCACTGCTAATGATCAGCCCTTCAAGTTCTTCAGCTTTTGATACTAAAGATTTCAGTCTGAAATAGAGATATCTCATTTCCACGATGGAACACTTCAAAACGTCTGTTGTAGTATGTGGAACTGCACTAACGGCACAAGTGGAAATAAGGTGCTGGAAATCTATTTACAGCTTCATGAGAGCGTGGTGGAGGATATTTCCGCATCGGATTCTACGAATGTAACATGAGTAAATTTTGCATTGCCATTTTCACTTCTGTGCATGCACATACCCCTCCTGCCCAACCACAACACCTCCCCAGGGAATGGAAAAGGTCTTTCCTCAGATAATTCCAACAGCTGAACCACAGATGCAAACGGAACTGTGCTTAAGGGAATCACTGCCAGTTAATGGAAAACCCACTACAAGATGAAATGATTTTGGTTCTTTAACCAGTATAGATGCCAAAGAAGCTAACACTTAATAATTCACCAGAGGTATCTATAAAAACTTAAAGGGAGAGCCATTAATATTCAAATTTAAGTCCAAGCATATTAACTTGATTTAATGTAAGTTAAATCCTAACACATTAGGATTTAATGTTCCACCATGCAGCAATCGCAGAATGCATTTCACAACTGCCTACCCACTTTTCCAGTTCATGGCAAACTTTTTCTCCAGCAGTGAACTACAACCTCACCTTCACATACAGCACAAAGAGGCGGAAGAGAGAGTCACATTCTTTGAGGAAGTACCACAAAGAGAAAAAGGTCTTCTACCCTGGCCCAGTCAATCCCTGCTCTGCTATCTACAGTGGTGCCCCGCATAGCAACGTTAATCCGTTCCGAATTAATCGTCGCTATCCGGAAACATCGCTAAACGGAACTTAAACTTCGTTTAATGCGTTCCTATGGGTCCCAAACTCACCGTTCAGCGAAGATCCTCCATAGTGCCGCCATTTTCGCTGCCTCAGTAAGCGAAGGCAGCGTGCGAAAATGCTTGCGGCGGCCATTTTGGGCACCCGCCGGCCATTTTGGAACCGCCGATCAGCTGTTCTAAAAACATCGCAATGCGAAGATCGGTAAGCGAAACGCTTACCGATCATCGCAATGCGATGTTTGCCCATTCAGAACATCGCAATGTGATCACATTAGCAATCCCAAAAAATAGATCGCTATGCGGATTCGTCGTTAAACGGTGCGCTCGTTATGCGAGGCACCACTGTACTTCCGGAACAGTTTTAAGTTGTTAATTATATCATAGGGGAACAGTTCACACTACAATTTCATTTTCTGCTGTACATGCGGACCGGGCCTGACTGTAAATGTACCTGGATTAAAGTCACAGCATCTAAGCTCGCACAAAAACATTTCTAAAGTCAGCCTAAAATGCATTTAACTTTCAAGAACTTACCACAGTGGGGTTGCCGCTGCTTATCAGCTGACTAACTTCATGAAAAATGCTCTTGCATTCAATAGATTTGTCCAAGGATCCTCGTTTCACTATTACTGCTACTGCTAATAATATCTGCTCCCGTACATACTTCTGGAGGCTGTAATTACAATATGGAATATACTCAGCATCAATACTGACAAAGGCAACCATCCTAATAGTTGCAAGTTGAAAACCTTGAGTCTACCGTTTATGGGGTGCTGAACATTTTAACTTCATTTTTGTGGAAGCAAATGCATCACAGATATACAGTGGGGTCTTGACTTGAGAACTTAATCCGTATTGGAAGGTGGTTCTCAAGTCAAAAAGTCTGTAAGTCAAGTCTCCATTGACCTACAGTGCATTGAAAACCGATTAATCCCGTAACAGGCCGTTTTTGTTCCAATTTGGTTTTTTTCTGGTCTGTAAGTCAAATCTCAGTCTGCAAGTCAAACCTAAATTTTGCGGCCAGAGAAGTCTGTAACTCAAACAGTCTGTAAGTCAAGCCGTCTGTAAGTCAAGGGTCCACTGTAGAACATATAAGAATTTTGACATTTCAAGGAATTAGCCAAGAAAAGAGTACAGTGATCGTTCTTGTTTGAAAAAGAAGCAGAGCAAAAAAGAGATTAAGTGTAATCCTGGGATGATGATACCAGCCAAAGCTGGTTCAGACAACTTCCTCTATCCATCTACAGTATATCACAGAAGTGAGTACACCCCCCCTCACATTTCATAAATATTTTAGCATATTTTTCATGTGGCAACACTGAAGAAATGACACTTGGCTACAATGTAAAGCAGTGAGTATACAGCTTGTATAACAGTGTAAATGTGCTGTCCCCTCAAAATAACGCAACACATGCAGCCATTAATGTCTAAACCGTTGGCAACAAAAGTGAGTACAACCCTAAGTGACACTGTCCAAATTGGGCACAAAGTATCAATATTTTGTGTGGCTACCATTATTTTCCAGCACTGCCTTAACCCTCTTGGGCATATAATTCACCAGAGCTTCACAGGTTGCCACTGGAGTCCTCTTCCACTCCTCCATGATAACATCACAGAGCTGGTGGATGTTAAGAGACCTTGCGCACCTCCACCTTCCATTTCAGAATGCCCCACAGATGCTCAACAGGGTTTAGGACTTGGCCAGTCCATCATCTTTACCCTCAGCTTCTTTAGCAAGGCAGTGGTCGTTTTGGAGGTGTGTTTGGGGTTGTTATCATGTTGGAATACTGCCCTGCGGCCCAGTCTCTGAAGGGCGGGCATCATGCTCTGCTTCAGTATGTCACAGTACATGTTGGCATTCATGGTTCCCTCAATGAACTGTAGCTCCCCAGTGCTGGCAGCACTCATGCAGCCCCAGACCATGACACCATGCTTGACTGAAGGCACAACACACTTGTCTTTGTACTCCTCACCTGGTTGCTGCCACACATGCTTGACACCATCTGAACCAAATAAGTTCATCTTGGTCTCATCGGACCAAAGGACATGGTTCCAGAATTCCGTCTCCTTGGTCTGCTTGTCTTCAACAAACTGTATGCGGACTTTCTTGCGCATCATGTTTAGAAGAGGCTTCCTTCTGGGATGACAGCCCTGGAGACCAATTTGATGCAGTGTATGGTCTGAGAACTGACAAGCTGACCCCCACCCCACCCCTTCAACCTCTACAGCAATGCTGGCAGCACTCATACGTTTATTTCCCAAAGCCAGCCTCTGGATATGACACTGAGCATGGGCATTCAACTTCTTTGGCTGACCATGGCGAGGCCTGTTCTGAGTGGAACCTGTCCTGTTAAATCGCTGTATGGTCTTGGCCACCATGCTGCAGCTCAGTTTCAGGGTTTTGGCAATCTTCTAATAGCCTAGGTCATCTTTATGTAGAGCAACATTTTGTTTTTCCAGACCCTCAGATAGTTCATTACCATGAGGTGCCATGTGGAACTTATGAGAAAGTGAGAGTGATAACACCTGCAACTTGCGACACAAACAGGTCTCATGACACCAGGGAGGGAAAACAGCTACTTGGGCCCAATTTGAACATTGTCACTTAGGGGTGTACAGTGGTGCCTCACACAATGAGCGCACCGTAGAGCGATGAATTCGCTCTACGGTGACGCTTTTGCGATCGCTAAAGCGATCGCACAACGATGGCCCCAATGGGCGAAAATCGCAGAGCGAAGGTCGGTAAGCTGCTCGCTTACCAACCTTCGCTTTGCGACCCGCGGATCAGCGCAGCCATTTCAGGGCTTCCGGCAGCGTTTTCGCGCGCTCCCCTTGCTTACCAAGGGCGCGAAAACGCTGCGCCCCGGCCCCTTTCGGCTGTTCCGGCGGTCATTTTTGACCCGCCGAACAGCTGATGGCAGCCATTTTGGCGCCCTCGTTCTGCGAGGGGAGGGCGCGAAAATGGCTGCCGCCTATGGAGGAACTTCGCTGAACGGTGAGTTTGAAAGCCATAGGAACGCATTGAACAAAGTTCAATGCGTTTCTATGGCTTTTTCCCTCCCGCACAGCGATGTTTCCCACAGCGAAGGTTAATCCGGAACGGATTAACCGCGCTGTGCGGGGCACCACTGTACTCACTTTTGTTGCCAAAGGTTTAGCCATTAATGGCTGTGTGTTGCGTTATTTACACTGTTATACAAGCTGTATACTCACTGCTTTACATTGTAGCCAAGTGTCATTTCTTTAGTGTTGCCACATGAAATGTGACGGGGGTGTACTCACTTCTGTGATATACTGTAACCTCAAATACTCATGAGTCCCTAAGCAATCTGTTCACAAACATGGTTCCCAGATATGATCAAGTCCCAGAATTCCTGACAACTAGCCATGAAGATTTTGTAAGATGAAGATCAACAATACTGTACTTGAGGATTCAAGTCTGGGAAACAAAAGGGGGACTATAAATTAGGATATTAGTTAT